ATCATAACCAGAATTTCTTTTCCATTCACCATGTGCCCAAAGATTTGCAGCAAGTTCTTTTCGAAAGTCTTTTATGTCTTCGGGTTGGAATTGCTGCACGTCCTTTCCAATCATCAGCAACTCGACAAATTTGATCAGGAATGCACCACAATCAGTCCTAAGAGAAATGTAAGATATGCAGTGAATTAAACAATAAATCTTAAGTACATATAAATAATATAACAAATAACAACACGTACGATCCAGTTTGGTGTGGTGATCTTTACCACTGTATATCAAATTTGTTGAAGACATTCCCAAAAGACTTGTGATTTTTGTCAAACTGTGAGAACTTTAGCAAATGGGGGATCATGCGTGCATACATTTGCATGTAGTTCATTCCTGTTTCATATGGCTCACTGTATATGGAATCGTATACATAAATCTTTTTCTGATTCAAGTCCAATACTCCCAACAGAAAGTGTGTCACAGCTTTATCATCTTCTGAAGGAAGCCGACATGGAAAAAAGATTTTGTCAACCTCAGTCCATGCAATTCCACATCTACGACTGTCCCCCCACACATATGGTGTCAGAAACAACTGATTATCACCAGCACACCAAAACTTATCACTAGCATCTTCACTGAAATCTTTATACACAAGTGCCATATAATTATCAAAAAGAACATCAGTAGTTGTGCATCAAAAAGGATGATCGCGAGGATGGTAGCATTCCTTCTTTCTCAGATAATAGAGAGCAATGTCAATATGCTTCATAAAAAGGCAAAAAATAAAACAAATCAATAAAATCAGTCATAAAATAATGAAAAAAATGATAAATTAATAATAGAAAAAATAAATGCCTTGTGAATTATCTAACCTTATCATCAAGAACAAATTTGCTATCTGAAAGCTCAAGGAAAAACATTTTGCTACTGATTTTTTGATGATACAATTTGTATGGTTTTTTCCTCACACTATTATCATCAGCATATAAATCAATTTGTCCCCTGAAAATTTTGAAAATGTCAAGTTAGAATTTAATCCTGAACTTTCATGCTGAAAAATTAATGACAGACAGTCCTTAAATTTGAATTAGAAGTTCAAAAGTTAAGGAAAANACATATGGTGTCAGAAACAACTGATTATCACCAGCACACCAAAACTTATCACTAGCATCTTCACTGAAATCTTTATACACAAGTGCCATATAATTATCAAAAAGAACATCAGTAGTTGTGCATCAAAAAGGATGATCGCGAGGATGGTAGCATTCCTTCTTTCTCATATAATAGAGAGCAATGTCAATATGCTTCATAAAAAGGCAAAAAATAAAACAAATCAATAACAAATCAGTCATAAAATAATGAAAAAATGATAAATTAATAATAGAAAAAATAAATGCCTTGTGAATTATCTAACCTTATCATCAAGAACAAATTTGCTATCTGAAAGCTCAAGGAAAAACATTTTGCTACTGATTTTTTGATGATACAATTTGTATGGTTTTTTCCTCA